TGAGGAAAATGGGTTTTGGTGAGCCGCCATGTCCCTTTACTCATCTCTGATGTCGAATCCATAACATCCTGTTGCTCAGGATGTGGGGAAGAAGGGGAAAGGGGAGGGGAGTGGCAATGGGACCGCACTGATTGTTTTCATTGTTCAACGAAACTCACCGCTGACTTTCAAGGCCAAAACTAACAGCTGTGAAAGTGGGGGAAAACTAGTTGAGGACAGAAGTCATGAGTCTGTAGAGGGTGACATGAACTCGACCCCCCAGACACACACAAACACAGATGCGCTCAAATATGTCCAGTAATGTTCGTCTTGCTCTCCAACTCTCTTTCACACTTGCGTTCATGCTCTCAGTTGCACAAACTTCTTATTGTTCCCACCAACCCTCCCGGACTGGAACAAGCTGGCAAATATTTCCCTCCTCTAGCTGCGGTTCACAAACCATACGCCACACAACACACACACACACACACACACACACACCACACACACACACACTTACAATCACATTTCCAAGTACACTTGCCAAGAAATTGATGATGATTATTTACTGCATCTGAGATAAGATGAGGCACGCGAGCCAGTGTTTACATCTGGCTTTACAATTATAGAAAGATGCTACACGAGAGATTTGGATATATAGTTCGTGTTTCTTTCTGTCTGGGTAATCGTGACCTGTAAACTTTCCATAAACTGCTGCAACAGTACAGTAAACACAGATACACAGATCTCTAATAGATTTTTAGCCAGTGTCATGCTAAGGACATTTTACAGTGGAAGAGTGGGGGGGCTGCTCTGCTGGAAAGGAGACAATGCTAGGAATGCAAGATTAACTTTTATCTTGTATCCAGAGCTCCTTTCCGTATTCCCCCCCCCCCCTTTTTTTTTTTTTTTTTTGCTCCAGCTTACCCTCAGTCCTTTGAAACACTACCCGTCTTTCGCCTTGTTTTATTTGTTTGCAGCTCCTACTCTGCCCGTCCCTGTCTGTCTGTAGTGGATAATATCAGCCCTTGTCCTGGCTTTGACCATATATAGGCATGTGTGGTACAGGACAGCAGTGTGTGATTTGCTCAGGTGGGAGGTTATGGCTCTGGGGCGCCACAGCTACTAAGAAAAAAAAAAAATGGTGTGTGTGTGTATGTGACATCATTTTTTCCCGTCAGTCATCCTGCATGCAAATCCTAGTTTTGGTTTTTAATAATTCCTTTGTCTTGTGAAATGTACTCCAGCCACTCCTCATTTTCTCATCAGGCCATCCTACTTTCCTCCCCTTTTTCCCACACTGGGCACACCCCAAGCTGGGATTTTTTTAAAATAAGCAAAGTCATTTACGTGTGTGTTAGTCATTCCTTTGACAGATACACAGGAAACTGACTCTGCTTCAGCAGGTGTTGTAATAGTCTGTCTATCAAATGATATCACCATGTCTATCTTGATTTTTTTCTTTTTTTGTTTGCACAATATGCAGGTGAAACTGAGTCATTTGTCACTATCTCCCCGTTTTAATGCGTGTTCTTGTGCACTTGTTCACACTCTACGTGTCGTGCGCACAAACACCTGCTGCATGCAAGGTAAATGTAGGTCCCCGTTTGTTTAAATTGCTGTGAACTGAGAAGAGTGTGTCTCTGCATGTTGTCTAGACAGAGTGAGACATTGAGGAACTGAAATTTAGTAGCCCCCCCCTCCCTCTACCTTGTCCAACCGGTCATGCAGGTGTGTAGGTGTGTGTGGCAATGCCTGAGTTTATTCACCTTTCAAGCCAGGGCTGATGGGAAGCTGGGTCTGCTTCACAGCAGATAAGAGGATCTGAGTCCCCACTTGTTTAGCTCTGATATAACAACATCTTTCTCTCAGAGCACAGCCAAGATAACAAAGAGACATAGGGGGAGGGAGGGATGAAAGGGAGTTAAGCTGAGAGAACAAGAGTAGCGGACTGACAGAGTTGGGTTAGAGGTAGATGAAGACTGATTACAGAGGAAAGGCTGGAAGAAAAATGGGGGGGGGAAGCTAGGTTGAACTGTAGAAAAAAGGATGAGTTAATAAGAGAACATATGGTTCTCAAAGGATGTTACTATCTATAAAAACCCTTGTTCTCTTTATGCTGACAGTCGATGTTCTCTGGCCCAGAAAGAGCTCCAGGTTGGTCAACTTTCCGCAGTTAGCTGCCATGCGCAGGCCAAATGTTGAGTAAATACAGGGTGTGTCTAAAGGCTGGAGCTACTGTATGTCTCTGTCTCTTGCTGTGTTATTCTGCTCACAGAACAAACACAACCCCGTTGACACACTTGTACGGTATTCTCACTATGTTGCTGTTTTTCAAACAGAGGTGCCTTCGTTCTTCACTAAAAAGTCTCTTTCTTTCTCCTTATTCTCTTCCCTCCACCTCTGTCTTTCTATCTCTCTCTCTGCAGTCCATTCATCCCTGTTTCTGGGCTTGGCGGTTCGGTGACCTTCTACCCATGAGCAACTAGAGCTCAACCTCTGACCTTGGTGTGATCTCTCACCTCTACTACCAAACCACGCCCCACAGGTGAAGGTGTGTATTTCCAATTTTCTCTGAATTGGGCTTTGAGTGTCTGTAATGTTGCTGGTGTTCTCATTTGTGCTTATACCACAAAGACCAGTGGGCAGTTCTGGGTCTTGTCCTCTTGGTTTTGGCAATTACATGTGAAGGTGATTAAATTTAGAAAGTCAACCTAAAAATTGTTCCCATGATTTTATAAACCGCATTTTGATTGGAGCTTCTAATCCAAAATTGTAGATCCACGGAAACATGTAATACATCAGTCCTGTTTTGGAAAGTCTACACACTGCAGAGGATTTATAAAAAAAATAAAAAATCTCCCTTTGTCTGCTGTTTGTATTTCCAGATGTGGGGTGTGTGTGTGTGTCTGAGAGAGCTCATCCATGCATGCGTTGAGTGGTAACGGTTTGTTGTTCTGAATGCAGGATGGTGGTGATATTGACAAATATAATATTGCAATATCTGTCTCCACATTATCATGATAAATATGTTGCAATAGTTATGATCAATGCAATAATCCATGGTTTCAAGCAGTCTGACTCTCTCCTCCATCATCACTGCCCACAACCTGCCACATTTGTCTCATAGTGTGTCCACTGTCGGACCTGAAATTTACTGCATGGTGTCGTGTGAAATACGGCTTTTAATGGCACTCACTGGGTAGTTCATTTTTCTGCTGTATTTTCTCCTTAGATTAGCACCACCGTGGCATGAATTCAGTGTTGCATTTACAGATGGCAGTGGTGCATTTAAAAACACTTTTTGTGATATAGGTTTAATCAGTGCTGACGTGGGGAGGTATTTCTAAAGGCAGTATGAAATTTGAGCAGCTGGGCATGTCGGTGTCTGTGCGGGAAACAACCTCAACTTAAATGAATGAGTCATTGCACTCGTGACAGGGCTGTCGAAAGAAAAAGGTGGTTGTTCACAAGTATCCATTATAATTCAGCTTTCACTTTTCATGTCTGAGTTTAACCGTTGGTGACTGCTGTATATTCATTATTAAGGCCAACGGAAGAGATCCCCTGTTGTGCAATCCCTACAGTGCCGAAAGATTTCCAAGAAGGCAACTAAACCCCAGTCACCAAACAAAATGCGTCAGCAGATAAATCAGATAAATAACCCTCCCTTCTTGATATCGGCCCAGAAAATCCTGCGTCCTCTAGATCTTTTTATACTTTGTACGGAGAGGTGTGTCTGTTTTTGTTAGACACCCTCTCCCTCTGCTGTAGTTTGTTCGAGGCTGTATGGATGTGTGTAACGCCGCCCCCCTCTTTCCCCTCGGGGCTGTGCAGTGTGTATGGAGCAGTGTGAGAGCGCAGCGGCTCTGCTGGAGTCGGTCAGGGAGCAGGAGGTGCAGTTTGAACAGCTGACCCGGGCACTGGAGGAGGAGAGGAGGAGAGTGGGCCTCCCCGCCACCAGCCCCTCTGCCCTGGGTCGCCCCCTCCCGCACACACAGGTAACACTCCCCAACAAACATCCCCATCCAGAGTCTCTGGCAGGCGTTTACAGCCTTCATCTTTCACTTATCACCCAATCCATGGATCATCATCTCCTCCATCCATCCCAAATGTTCTCCCTCTGACATCCATACATCATTCATCCCTTCTCCGCCTCCTCTCCACCAGCGCTCTGCAAATTTGTGTCCGAACGTGTGTGCGTCATCATTAAATGTCTTTCTTTATTTACTCAGTATCTCCATCTGTCCATCTATCTTTCAGCACACATCTGCAACTGTATCAGTTGCTGTCTGCACATAGTTGCACTACTTTCAGCATGCCTGAGATGGTCATCATCACGCACTTTCAGCATGCCTTCACTGTCACTCACCGGTTACACACCGACACACACATGTACACCTTTCGTCGGCCCCTGCTGTGGAATCTCAGTTATTTTCCTCTCTGTTTCAGCACGTCGTGTTATGAAATTTGGTCGTCTGTCGTGCATGTGTCGCATAGTCCTGCATCCGGTGTCGTTTTTTAAAATTTCTATTTCTTTCTTTCTAAGAATTTTGTCTTTTTATTTTTATTTAAATCATTTATCAAGCACTTTAATTCATGACTTCTGATGTCCCTGCTATATACTAAGTATTCATTTGCATGCAATTTTCTTTTGTATATTGAACATCCATGATATTACAAGCTTCTTGAAATGATGTGATAAAACCACTGGCTTTTGTAATGTTTCTGCTACATGATGTGAGAAAGGGTTGGGCAATACACCATCAGGTTATATAAATGTGTCTACAGTCAGATGTTTTGATATAGCAGCAACTGTTGATTATTTTATCAATATATTCATCCCCATAGCCTTTTAAATAGATTGTTTTGTCCGACCAACGGTTAATATATATTTAAATAGCCTTTGCTGAAAAATGGTTGCATATGAATTTTCTGTAAGTAGTACTAATCGATAGATTGACAAAATCTTTTAAGCTTTAATACCAGTTAATACCATGGTAGCTGTCAGTTTAATTTCTTTTTGTTGTATTTGACCATAGCAGGCAACGTTTCAAATAAGTGAGCAGGATTTCCTGCATGTCAGTTAGGTATTTTATATGGTGTCTGCACCACAGTACTTTGATCTGTAAGGTATTTCGTACGCTGGATGAACTAAAAACAGACATTCCTATCGAATATTCTCATCTGGAAACAGTTTCACAATTGATTTTACGTTTTTTTTTTTTTACCTTACTTCAGTCTGCTCTTTTGTTTACAGCTGAGTTGTCTGGGTGGATGAGGTCCTAACTGTTGCCTTCTTGTCCTGTTCTGTTGTCTCTACCAAAAGACTTGACTATTAGACAGCAGTAAACTTCAACTAGTTGCCCAGGCCTGGAAGAGCAATTACAGGAGATTATAATTTTGCTCTCAGGTAACCGTGAATATCAGGAAGTGCTTTACTCAGTGGTTGACATTTAAAGCAGGGTTGTACAGTTACTGACGGTGTAGAATAGTTTAAAATGTGTTCCCAAATATTGTCCTTCCTTAAAGGGCTTGCTGACACAGATTAGATCTTATGTTATGTCTCTTTGAATCCTTGGAAGTGACTTATTTGATTAGTGCAGAGGATCAGCTGGAGGATGAAGGCTGCAAAAGCAGGAATCTGTGTTTTTGGCCTTGTGCTAACTCTGTTTTAGTTCTAGAAAATATGAATGTTGATGAAGATGCTTTGTCAGCTTCACAGTCTGCATGTGTCTCCAAAACCACGACAGAGTTGTTGGTCTTATAGGAAGTGTGTTGTCTTGTCAAAGCACAATCTGTACACCCCATTGCTTTTTAGTAACAAACGTGCCTCCTTGTGGACATAATATAAAGTGCAGCATGACATACTATTGTAAATTAAGTGGGCATCAGTGTTTTGCATGATACTATCTCTTGTTTTAGACTTAATATAGTAGTATAGTAAAAGAATAGTATCACAGAAAAACTGAAACCAACTATCTTGTAGTGGTGGAATGGTCTCTGAGAAGTAGCCCAATTATTCAGTGTTCACATGTGATTCTGCTATTCCTGATAACTGAAGCAGTCATAGTACATAAATGTGTGCGTTAAAGTCATACCCTGTGATGGTAATTGATTATGTAACGGGTAATGCAGGAGGAAGTTGGGTGTGAGGATGAGTGACTGCACTCCAAAATGCCCTCCCTCATTTCTGGCAGTGATTCACAGACCATAAACATGGAGGGACGGTTTGGTCAGCACTGAATGTGCTTCAGCAGCAGTAATATCATCTGGGTGGTTGTGAGAAAGTAGACAGCACTGGCTGCAGGGGAGCATGCCTTTTAATCTCATTTTTATGTGTTATTTCAACAGAATTGCATGCTAATATTTAAAAAATGTTAGTTATATATTCACAGTTGTCTTACTTTTTTATCACAGAACGGGCGTTTAGGGGATGCAGACATAGAACGTCTGAAACTGACTGACTCATACATAAACGGCACACAGGTACGTGTTTGTGTGTAAAGTTATACATCTAAATATAACTATCTTTCTTGTATTAATGCAATTAAGTGCCAGTGATGTCTTAATTATAGATGTGTGGTGTGTCTCTGTACAGTACAGAATGGTGGACCCCGCACACGGCGCTCTAGATGAGAGCTACACACCAGAGGACGACTCCCAGGAAGTACACTCAGTCTTTTCTGACGAGGGAACCGCACGACGGCCAGACAATGGGGTAAGTGATGTGATGTATGCACCGTAAAGTCATCAGGCTTTTAGAAATTCCTGTAATGGTAGGGTTGAGTCAGATTACTTTGAAATGCAGCCAGTTACAGAATACAAATTACATGGGAATTTTTTTTGTATTTAGCAACGTGCATTGGATTACGAAAATATGTGATCTAATCTGAATACTTTATAAATGATGAATGAAAATGCACCTAGTTCTCTTTAAATATCTCAAACCATTTTCAGTGCAAATAAAACAAATAAAAACAAACTATGTCTGACCAATTAAGAGAGGATTGTTATTATGAAAAATTGTTTCATCATTTTAGAATTGCCATATTTTAAATGTAATCTCGCCTGATTATAGGTATTTATTTTATGTAATCTGATCAGGTAACCCTGTGCAAAGGCTTGTGTAAAAACTGTTTAATATTTTCTTCTTTATAATGATTATCTTTTACCATAAACATATTTCAATTCATCTCTCCCATCTCACTCTCCCTCAGATGAAGAAACCAATCTCACGCACGGTCATGCCCTCTGACTCGATGTCCATTGATGGAGGCTTGTCGATGCCCGGTATGGGGGGGTACAGCGCCACACTTGACCGTCCTTACAGACAGCCTATGCCAGCAGACTACCCCACGGCCACAGTGCCCAGAAACTACCACTATGGCCCTGTAGGGGGTTACGATGACTACCGGGGAGCCCCGCCATCAGAGGCATACACTAGTCTGAGCCGGGGCTCACACATGGACGACCGTTACAGGTACAAGACCGCTGCATGTGAATGTTTTCTTGAAAGGCACATTTTATTGTGATGTTGTTTCTCTAGTTGGTTTTCATGAGTGGACACAAAAGAATAATTTCATGTTCTGCTTTATCAACTTAATGAGTCACATTTATCATTTAATAATCATTTAAAGCAGACTTTGAGCTGTCAGTTAATTTCCTCATGGTCACTGTTTTAAGACCTTGAATTAAAATTGACACCAGACTTTTAAAAGCTGTTCAGCAAATATACAGTGCTTGGCTTATGTTTCAGTTTGCTAAAAGTGGTCACTATAAGTATTTACTCTAAAGATTAAACATGCATAGTGGACAGAGTGATTTAATTTTTTTTTTTTATGTGTTAACTTTATGGAAGTGGAACAACCTGTGTCCTAATCATTAAATGTCTGCGATTGACAAGAGCATCATTTATGGTTGAGAGGGGTAGAAATCAACATTAAAACCAACCAATAACATATGTTTACTATAACCCCCCCCCTCCCCAATTCACACCAAAGTGAAGAAGTGCAAGAACCTGCTTTTAACCCTGCTCTGTTGTGAAGCCAGATACATAACATGTGTTCAAATGTTCACATTGACTTAGAAATTCATCCCACGTCACTGTCTGAAAGGGGGTTCACTCAGGATGGGATCTAAATTTAACTAGTTCACTTCTGTCATCCTTTTCTTTCCCCAGGCCAGTTGATGGCTACAGGACCCTGGACTCTGGCTACCGGGCCCCAAGCCGCCAGCAGCTTGACCCGTATGCAGCACAGCCCCAGGTGAGCCGGGGAATGAGGGCCCTGGGCTCAGCGTTGGAGATGAGGTATGGCCAAGGCCACTACGGTCTGGAGGATGACCAGCGCAGTGTTGGATATGATGACTATGGCATGGGGCCTCCACCAATGCACCCTGGAGGCTACGGTACCATGCCCCGCCTCGGGCCTGGCCCCATGGGTATAGACAGACGAAGACTCAGGTAAAACATAAGGACATTGCTGGCTGTCATATCACACTTGGTTTTTTTTTTTTCAATCAGACCATGTTTGTGTGCAATATATCTGACTCTCTCCATTCTGCGCCATGTAGGAGCTGTGAGGATACTTTGGATGGAGATATGGGAGGAGGTGACCCTTATGTCTGGGGCGCTCCCATGACGATGGAGAGGGGGAGCATGGCTTCACTGGACAGCACATTGAGGAAGGGTCCTCCTGCTTCCTGGAGACAGCCGGAGCTGCCGGAGGTCATTGCCATGTTGAGCTATCGTCTGGACCCTGTCAAGACCAACGCTGCTGCGTTCCTCCAGCATCTCACATTTAAAAATGATAAGGTGAAACAATTGTCACATTCAAATGCTAAATAACAGCATTTAACTAATATTTAGCTTTTGTATTGTGGCTATTCTATAAATGCTTGACGTGTGTGTGTGTGATTTTGCATGTGTATGTCTAGGTGAAGTCAGACGTGCGTCGTCTGAAGGGCATCCCAGCCTTGGTGTCGCTACTAGACCACCCCAGCAAGGATGTGCACCACTCAGCCTGTGGAGCACTAAAGAACATTTCATATGGGCGAGACCAAGACAACAAGATCGCCATCAAGAACTGCGATGGAGTGCCCGCTCTAGTCAGGTTACTGAGAAAAACCCGCGACCAGGATCTCACGGACACTATCACAGGTATCAACATCATTACATATTATGTTACATATTATATTACAAACCAAAGATCAAGACTTTTTGAGAGCAGTAGCATGATTCATTCATTACGGGCCAAACTCTCTTTTGAAGAGTAACAGTATTTATTCTATTCTCCCAGGCACCTTGTGGAACCTCTCGTCCCACGACTTGGTAAAGATGGAGATCGTGGACCATGCCCTACATGCCCTAGCTGACGAGGTGATCGTTCCTCACTCCGGCTGGGAGCGAGGGAGCAACGGAGGAGAGGAGAGCTGCAAACCACGCCATCTGGAGTGGGAGACCGCCTTGACCAACACTGCTGGCTGCCTTAGGTATAAAAGGGATCAATGGATGGAAAGCAGAAAAAGTCTAACTTATTTTGAGAAGAAAACATGCAATTATGTGCTCAACGTCTCCTTCTGTCCTACAGGAATGTGAGTTCAGAACGCAGCGAGGCCAGGCGAAAGCTGAGAGAATGCACAGGATTGGTGGATTCACTCATGTACGTCGTCCAATCACAGATCAACCGCAAAGATGTGGATAATAAGGTACCTGTTTACTTAACTTATTTTATCTTTGGTTGCAATAAAAGTTTTATGAAACCAAAATACCTTTCTTCCTCTACTTCTATCTTTGATCATTTTGTCCCCTTGTCTTCTCTCCATGCAGTTGGTGGAGAACTGTGTCTGCCTCCTGAGGAATCTGTCCTATCAGGTTCACCGCGAAGTCCCCGGCTGTGAGCGCTATGCAGAGGCCGCACCCCTCAACCAGGGGCCGCCCACCGCTAACAAAGGTGGCTGCTTTGGCTCTCGAAAGGGCAAAGGTCAGTATCAGACAGCTATCACAGTGTGGAGCTGCATTGTGTCTGAGATTTTGGAAGCTGGGTAGCTGCTACTGGGTTTCAGCTTGTTGGTGGCGAACGCACCTGTCGCTGTTTTTCACACTCTACCACTGTTTCCCTCCTTTTCCTTTTCTCTCTCTCCTCTCCTCTCCCCTTCGTCTTACCTTTCTCCCATCTTTCTTCCCTCCCTCCTTCACTGCCTCCTTTCTCTCTGCTGTGTTTAGATGAGTGGTTTTCCAAAGGTAAGATTCTCCTCTTGGTGTTCTTGTTAACTATTGACCACGCAGTCAGCGCTCATGTTACTAACGCAGAATAATACTCCATTAGAGAAATGTTGAATTCACAATCCGTTCATGAGCATGATCACCTGATGTCACGCCAACAACATTGCATGATCACAGTGCTTGTGCCACCGGTTGCATGGTCTCATTTCACATCACGACATACCAGAGTCGAGGACTGGGGATAACCGACTGCTCATCTCAGCCACCTTCATATAATCTTATTTCTTAAGATCTTATTTCACTCAGTCTTTCATGTTCTCTCTCTTTATTTATTTGATTTCTTGCTGCAGGAAAGAAGGATGGAGATGATGGAAGTGGAGATCAGGTCGACATTCCAAAGAGGACAACACCTGCAAAAGGTAGGCATGTCTCTTTTCCCCTTGTCTGCTGTTTAGCACTCTGTCTGCAGCTTTATTCATGAACCTTTTTCACCAGATACCTGCATTTCTATCAGTCTAGGAAATAGCTTGAATCCTTTCTGGGGAACCAGCTGAAAATGTTAATACTTTATTTCAGTAATTTGTTCCACATTTCATACTCACAGTATGATCTAGTTTCCAAACTAGTGGACATAGTAGACATTGGTTTTTAATGTGGTAATGGTTTCCAAGTGATACTACAACATGTGTACTAATAGACTAATGCTTCCATTCAGTCGTACTAATAAACAGTTCAGGCTTAGTTTAAAATTTTGTTTAGTTTGAAAGTAATTTTTGGTCGAGGCTTTATATAATGCTGCAGTTTGTCAAACTAACTCTCTTCTCTATATGTCGACTTTAGGTTACGAGCTGTTGTTCCAACCTGAGGTGGTTCGTGTTTACACATCGCTGCTCAGAGAGAGCAAGAACCCCTCTGTGCTGGAGGCTGCTGCGGGCGCCATCCAGAACCTGTGTGCCGGGCGATGGACTGTAAGTACCATTTCTTAACAAACTGAGACTCAACAAGACCCCAAAAAATATATATTAGTAATGTTTTCAGATGAAGTCTCAGTTCATAAATTCTGAAAGTTAAAGTAAATTTGATCTCTGATTAGTCAGTTGTGATAATGTCCACGATATTGTATCTTCTGAAGTTACTGGAATAAAACTGATGTCAGTGTAAAAAGATATTCACTAAGTGCTCTCTATCTGCTTGTTCTTCAGTATGGTCGGTATATCCGGGCCACTGTGCGCCTGGAAAAGGGTCTTCCCATGATGGCAGAGCTGCTGGCTCATGGAAATGACCGTGTGGTGCGGGCAATGTCCGGAGCCTTGAGGAACCTCGCCATCGACAACCGTAACTGCGAACTGCTCGGTACGGATGTTGGATTGTCTGTGTAGTTCCAAAAGAATATAACAGATACTTTTCTACTGCTGGATATTGGTTACATTTATTCTAAATTCAGTATGTGATGCACTTCAGCAAGTGTATGCAAGTTTTTGGACTTGATTTTAGATGTTTATATTTGTATTACTCCAGATGCATTTGCTTACCTCACTGTGTTACTCTTGCAGGTTTGCATGCAGTGCCTCACCTTGTGGCCAACCTGCCTGGAGGCCAGAGTCAGTCTGGGCGCGCTCTATCAGAGGAGACAGTAGTGTCTGTACTGAGCACACTCGCTGAGGTGCTAGGCAACAGCCTGGAGGCAGCAAAGACCCTCCGAGCCTCGCAAGGCATTGAGAGACTGGTGCTCATCAACAAGGACGGGTGAGTGTGTCCTGTACAGTGAGCTAAGAATCTAAGTGTTTTCAGTTTCTAGCTATGAATGCAGCTTGTTGCAAGCCAACATAAGCATTGCATACATTAGTGTTTTTATGATACTAAGAAAGATAAAACAAATACTTTAGCAGTTTATAATAAAGATAGTCTCTCCATGTCCCATCATCCTTGTAAACAAATACATGAACTCTGCATGTTATATCACTAAAAACGGGATAGAAAATAAATGTGTGAACATACCTTTGTGTATCTTACAGCAAGCGTTCAGATCGTGAGGTGCGGGGGGCCGGCCAGGTGCTGCAGCTCGTCTGGGCCCACAAAGAGCTGCGCCGGCCTCTTGAGAAAGATGGCTGGAAGAAGACTGACTTCATGGTCAACCTCAACCCCAACACCAGCACCACCAACGGCCCAAGTACTAGAGCCAACGGCACCTATGAAGACAGCACCACGCCACTGCTAGACAGAGGTCGGTGTGCAAGAAATAACATGTGGTTAAATATATTTTGACAGTGTTTAAATCCCAAGTTTTAAATACAAAAAGGGTTTCTCAAAAGATGATACTTCATGAACTATCAGTAGTTGTTGTGTATTTAGACTTGTTTACATGAAGCTGATGATTGTGACTGTGTTTTGCTTTAGGGGAAAAGAGGGACATGATTCCACTAAATGACCTCGGCCCTGGTTAGTACATTTATCATCGCTGCTTATCAAGACGAGTCTATAGAAAATATGTGTGGTTTATCTCACTCGTGTTATCCTCTTTTCCTCAGAGGCCTACTCTACACTGGACCAGAGGGAGAGGAGACACACTCTGGATGAAACCACAGACACTTTACCGGTACTTTAAATCATTCTCACATATTTTCACGTATCGGATTGCTCACTTAACTACACTAACCCTTAATCTCCCGCACCACTATGTATATTTCCTGACTCTAACCTTTTTCCATTTGGCAGCCAATAAAACTTCAGTTACTGACATTTCTCTTTTCTCACACTCACTTGCTCACCCTCTTCTCTCTCTTTCTCTGGTGGTCTCTCAGCGAGGGGTGTATGGGGGCAGAAAGGGCTCCTTGCCTCTGTTGGACTCCTACGATGGTTAGCCCTCCCCCCCTCCCCTCTACCCTCCCTCTGCATGTAACAGCATGGTATGTCCAACTGACCTCTCGTCCTGCATGGACTCTATGAGCTCCTTTTTTGTCTCTTTTAACTTCAAACCCTCAGTGAAACGTGGTCTCTGTCTCTGATGCTGCACTGAAACACCGGTTGAGCAGTACGATACTGATATTTAACTATATAAAGCCCCGATGTGATGTGTACGTACTGGTATAGTATGCTGCAAGGTGCGTTGTGATACACGCAGTCTGTCAGTGTAGAGATGAAGATGAAGGCCGGTGATTAAGATTTAAATCCTCAGAATAATAACTGTGCAATAGTGTTGTCACAATACCAGAACTTTGACACCAACGCATTCAGTATAAAAATATATATGTAATATAAAAACTAATACAGTGTCAAAGAATACAAGTAATGCAGCATCACAGAAAATACTTCACAAACTTTCAGCGTAACTTTTACCAAGAGGTTTTGACGTCTTCTCAAAATAGTTTTGTTTGTCTTGGAGCGGCAACTGTCAGAGTGGACTTTTTAGGCGTATTTCCACTACAATGGTACAGCTCAACTTGACTCTACTCGCTTTTGGTACCTCTACTTAATTATCCAGTAGATAGTACTTCGGACAGTCCCCCATAAACATAGTTCAACGTAACAGAGGATATAGTCAGCTCTCTGTAAATTGACCATGCCATGGTTTTGCGGACTGCCATTTTTGGCTGAATAAAAAAAAGACTAGTGTCTATTGGTAGCATGGTCTGTGCAGGATGTCCCATTTTGGTTTCACATCACCTTTTTTTTTTAGTATCAGCTTAGCTCATTTGGAAACTTGACCAAGGTAGAACAAAAAAAATACCAGCTACTATCTATAATAGAAAACCAAAAAAGAGTGTTGAGAGATGAGTCATGTCGGACCATACGGCGGTAAAAGTGGATTTTGATACTTTTTCCATGTTGTGAAATATTGTACCGGATCCACGTCCTCATCTGCAACTCTAATCTTTTGTCGCCTGTTGGTGCTAGTGGTGTAGAGTTTGTGTTTCAGTGCACTCCCGTGGCTCTGCAGGGTATTACAACAACATATGTGCAAGAATAGATTTAATGCATTGGATTGGATTTTTTGTTGTTTGAGAACTGGCAACTTACTGCCTGCTATTGAGTTATTTTATATCAGTTTGAGAAATTAAGATAAAATATGACAATAAATGTAAAAGGATCAATAATTGAGATTTTGGGGGAAAGTAATGACCCCAAATCCTTGTTTACAATATGTCATCTGCTGCTGTAGTCACAGGCAGTATTTCCTCCAGTACGCAGCCTTCCACAGGTATTGTTTTTACTGCTGCAGGATGGTTGAGCCATTCTTCGTTGATCTCTGATCCTATTATGCTTTGCCATAAGGTTGTGGTGATGGATAGACCATTATGACCAGAACACAGGTTGCTTCTTAGACTAATATCTTTAGTTTTACATACATTCACATTAATAGGAGTATCTCTATTTATTATCAGGGCAGTCTTCTTTGTAAGTTGTCTATGAAACAGTGTGATTCACTACTGTGTTACAGGGGAAACATCAGCATCTATACGCTTTCTGAACTAGGTTACAATATTCAATTCTAAAATCCAACTATACTGACTATAGTTTTAGTGTTATTGAACATCTGGTTATTGTGATAGCACTACTGTGCAGTGTGCCATACTTATACCACATAATGAGTCCTTGTGTTGCCTTCGTGTTTATTGTATTAATAACCCTTTTTTTGTGTCTGTGCTTGCGTTCTGACTCTGTTTTTAATCTGCATATTTTGCTCCGTTCCTTCAGAAAAACTGATAGTGTGCATCACCCAGACTGGGCCGTCCCTGCCCTACCACTGCTACTGAGGAGAGAAGATCCAGATGCACACTCTCTCTCCCTCTCGTCTCCCCCCTCTTCCCCCCTTCCTCACCTCTCTTTCTCTCTCTATCACCACACAGATGGGATTAGAAGATGAGGGTTGGCATCCAAAGAAAGTGGCTGTGTTGCAGGCAGAACGTTTCATGCAGCACACACGTACAGATACATACACACCTACTTTTTACAAATTCATTCAACTGTAGCAACAGAAATATATATTCCGTTTTTTTTAATTATAATTCCTATGTAAAGGCAATCACCTTTGTTGACAATCATTTAATTCTGGTGTTGTCATCCTGCTTGTTTTTATTTCTTCTTGCTGTTGTCAACATTTTGGTAAAGTTTGTCATGGTCAACATGTTGCTGCCAACACCCACATCCTAACGACGAATTTGTACTTGTATGTAGGGTATATACTGTATATAAAAAGAAAAACGGGATGACTGCATTAGTTTTGGCTCATTAATTTAAATTGCCCTTTACTGGGATCGTTGGGAGGTTGGGACGAGCCGGCAGACCGACGGCCGCCCTGTAGATTGAGAATGTTGTTTATATAGGAGTTATTTTCCTGTCTAGAATTATTTTCTCTCGGTTGGGATGAGCACAGGAGTAGACCAGAAAGGGCAGGTGTGTGTATATTTGTCATACAGTAAACCTGTGGCTGTGTGCATGTGTGTGTGGAAAATGAATATGGACCTTAGAGTGAGTGTGTTTTTGTGTGTGCGCACAGACCAGACCCATAAGACCACACGTTTAAGCATTATTTCATCTGTTCATGTTGTCTATTTTTATCTTGTGCTCCTACTCCTGTGACTAAGCATTGTTTGTTATTTTGTTTTGTTAGTTTTTATGTACCAACTGCCTCTTTGTTTTTTTGATACCTTCATTTCTCACCTTTTCCCCCCTCCCCCAGTGAAAAAAATGACAATTGAGCTGCTGCGCTTTGACTTTTCTGTCTGGATTTAGCCGAGCAGACCAGTACAACACATCAAACTTGATACTGAAATGTGAAGCTGGGAAAATACACTACTAAACCACTAAAACCATTTCTGGCTCTACTGTAACAGTTTCATACCATAGACTCAACCTTCTTAGCTTATTCTTTATTTAGAAAGCAACAAATACTTCCATGGGAGGATTTCTTTGGAATATCTATCAGTACTTGCTGTTTTTTGTTCACATTGGCATCTGTGATGTGCCATTTTATTAAGAGAAACACATAATATGGGAGACTTCTTCACTCAGAAGAGACTCGAGTTTTAACAGACAGACTGGGGAGAGATACTGACATTTAATTTAATTTGGGAGATGGACAAAAAGCACATTTTGGTCTATAATCCATTTAGTTTTTTTGTTACATTTTTTTCACTCTGTCTGGTTTGTGTTTTATTTTATTCCAGGGTTTGTATGTTTGGGAGAGGTGGGTGAGAGAATTATGCAATTTGTTCAACTTTTTAGTCCCAGTTTTACCGCCGAGTTGTTTTTTTGTTTTGTTTTTTAAGGCAAAAGAGACCAATCATCTTTGTTTTGTTTTTACTCTCCACACACAGTATATTTGTAATGTTGCCTATCCATGTAAAATTATGATGTACCATTCATACCTGCCTTGGCTCTGAGAAGTTGCTTTTTTCAGTAAAGTATGTAACTGGTAATACTGTTTTTATAAATAAAGATCTTTTCTTAGACAAGATTTTGCAAAGTGTGATTGATGTGGCTGCGTGTTGAGGTGAGGAAGGACTGCTGTATCGTGTTGATAAACATGTCTAATTAAAGAGAGGCAGTCTGTCTGGGTAATATCATCCCCTCGCTCTTGTTAAGGCAAATGGCAAACACACAAACGTGTCACTATGTTAGATATTCACTCTCTAACATCACTGTGCTCCATAGGCTTGTTTTTTCCATGTTCTAATTACCAAAGCTTGTTATCTGTGAGGCCGTTTGTGTCAACAGACCTTTTTTAAACTCACTACAAACGCATTCATCTCCCAACTTAAGACCACAAGCTGCTCAGGCCTCGTCTCCATACCTGTATAAAGCTGATTAAACTTCAAACACGGCGAACACCGCAGCACAGTTAAAGACTGTCAAGTGTTGACATTCTCAGCTTTGCTGTTCTCTCCGGTTACACATGCTGACAAGGAATAGCTGCCGTGTGTGTGTGAGAGAGAGAGGGAGAGAGTGTGTGAGAGTGTGTATGTTTGTCAGCCTTCAGACATGTCGAAGGAACACACGAGGGTTGTACGAGGACGTGAAAGTGTCTCGGCGTTTCCAGTATGCAGCACGTCTGAAATACATCCCACACCGATTGAGAAGCAGCTGCTGGATCACGAGGGCTTTAAGTGCATGTCAGAGTGTGAAAGTTTGGTATTAGTCAGGTTATGATGTGTATGTGTCAGCCTGTGACCCATACAAAGTCACACAATTTCACTGAGTACCTTTTAAATGTTAGTTACAGCTGAAGAGACTTTAACACTCCCACAACTACTTTTGGTGATGAATGATCAGCTGTAGATAATAATTTAATAACTGAGGTCATGTCTATGTCTGGGGGTTTCAGAAACCTGGGGGACTTTATTTGAAAATAAAGAGCTTTAACGTGGTAAGTATTTTAGAGGTAGATAGATTAGACAAACCTACATTTTACAATAGGTCTCCAACTAATGACCTCAATAATCAGTGTTTGATTTATCGATTGATTATTCCAAAATGTCAAAAAAAGTGGCTAATAGAAATTATTTTAAGAGGTATATACTTATCTTTCCTCTTCCTTCCAAAGGTTGAGTTTTGTATCAGTAAGAATTCTTACTGATTATATGATATATAAGTAAATAATCAGGAATAGGTATGAATGTTGTTGCCCATCATGAAGTATTTGATCAGAGAATCAGTGAACACCCCAAGAATCTGGACAAACATTCACTACCACCAACTATTAAGTTACTCAGCACTTTTTAATACTCAATGCAATGGACACGTTTTAGTTGGTGCTCAGAATGTATGAAAGGATATTTTCAGTGTTTTTAGTATAAAATTCACCCAATGTTTCCTTGCTGAGCTGCAGGACAGTGGTTATAAAAAAAGAGGGCATTTCGTAATTAACAGACTTCGCGTGGACTGGATGTTGGAATCACGTTAGGAAGGAATTTCACAGCTAGTGTGGAGAGGAGGAACAATTACAGCGACAAGTAGATCCTGAAAATTACATGTGGGTGTCCATTTGTTTCTCTGCCAGAACTTTATTCCTTGCGACGTGCAGACGGGTTTGAAACGGCAATTAGAAGACGTTCATGTTGTGAGATATAATTTAAAGAAAACATAAGCTGACTGGATAAATAAAATATAATAAAACAATGGAGTGGTGGTGGGGGGGTACTTCGGGGGACTCGTGACCTCTGTATATCTAAAACCTTGGCTACAGCCCTGGTAGTATGTGTAAAGTTTATGTAGGCTAATAAAGATCCCATAGCGGCACCTGCCACAGTTAATAAACCGCAGTTAAACATAAATGGTTTTGTCCTCTAGCTGCTACAAACGTATAAGCCTGAGTGACAAGTGTGTCTGCATGTCTGTGTTGGTCATTGAGTGGGTGTAGCATTCGTAACCTGTGCAGCTGGTACACTCACACCCTCTCTCTCTCCCACACACACACACATACACACACACCCTTCCTTAAACTTGAGACCACCGAACGCAGCAGATTCTCCCTCCCTTCCTGTGTCCTATCATTTGGTGTCATATCTATTTAGGGCTCCCCCGCTGTTCTTCATTTCCTCTCTCAATCTCAAATAGAAGCAGCAGCAACATTTAACTCCAGCACATGAGATCCCGGGGTAAAAGTGCTGGGAGGATAAGACCAAAGGAATACAGCACATGTTCGGAGAGGAAGGATCGCTGTGAGGAATTTAGCACCGGTTTCATCATCATTGAGTCCACATTAGGGACACCACTGGGTGTGTTACCATGCATGATACGGAAGAGAAACCACACCACTGGGAGATTAAGTGTGGCCCTCCTTCCTTATGATCCCTGGAGCCGATCTGTGGAGGAAAGTGAGTACAGTTTAAGGAACTGCTCAGTATTGCCTTGTAACTCATGGTTTCTGTCGGGGTCCCGTCCTCTTCAAACCCAGAAGACGAGTCCCCTAATCACACTCCGGCGCCGGACTCCTCCCGCCACACCACCCACGGAAAGCAGAGCGGGCTGGGGTATGGGTTCTGGGTGGCCTGGCACAACCTGAGGCCCTTCATCCCCTTCTTTCTCATCAGCTTCATGGTCGTGGCCCTCGTCTACCTGATGCAGGCCATCATCTATGGGGGGCCCTTCAAAGACCCGCTCTTCTTTGTCAAGTTCAATGAGCGCTGGCCTCGGCCCCCTCCGGTGCAGCAGGACTCTCCGACGCCTACCGAGGTGCTCAGTCCGGACCCCTCCTCGTCCTTCGAGCAAGTCCTTGTTGAACTGCACAGAGACAATGAGACAATGTGAACTGTTTGACTACAAAATGTGGAGGAACCTTTCTTTTTCTCTGTGGATATGAGCAGCAAGGACTCCTCAGGGATTACACCAGGTCTCAATGCCATAGCATTGAGAAGGACACAGACTCACTACTTTGACTGTCTATGTATAATTTAATTTGGTTGGTTGTTGTATGTCCCATGTCTGTCCTTTTCACCAGACCCCAGGACTAGTTAAGTTACAATAACTAGTAATACTGGGTGGTCTTTGCACATTCACTTCGAGTGATGTGCAGCTGAATCAGGTGATTCTCATATGAAGGACAACAAACGTCGATCAATCGGTGGGCTCCAGTCAAACATGTAAGACTGGGCCCTGGTGATATAACATCCTTTTTAATTCAACAGTGCTGCAATTTATTCATATGGTTTGTCTCTGCAGTGACTTTTTCGGACACGTTTTTGGACACATTTGGTAGGTGCTTAAATGGTCTTTAAAGATGTAAAGAAAAAACACAGAAATCAACATCAATTTTATTAATAATGTTTAAATTATAAAATGTGGCTGTCTGATATGTACAGTAAAGCACCAATGATATCATACAGCATTGTTGGCTTGTATTTCTGTCTGTAACAGTGGTTGTTCCCACTTTGTGTTACCATTCCTCCACCGTGTCTGGGCAGTAAGCACAAACATTATCCAGCACACAGAGAGATTTTTGTACTATAAAGAATGCAACATACAAACTTGATTTAACTAACTCAGAGTCACATTAGCTTCATTTTGCTGTTTAGAGGTTCAGAAATGTGACCCAATCCTTTAACTTTCCAAGAACACCACACTGAAAAGAGCAGAGGGACTGTATTCATTCCCACTTCCCACGAGGTAACCCTCCCAAACAAACACCTGGATGTAACTATGAAGAATTACAGTAATGTAAAAAACATTTGTCATCTCTCACAAGTAGACAGGCACATAACATATCGCAAAACAGTGTTAAAAAACTTGTATTATTGTGGATTAGTCTGTATTATTGTGACATTTTGATATCCATATAAATGTATCTAATTTGCTCCTTATTGCTATCACTGTCATCTTATATGTTTTACTGATGCTTAAATGTGGAGGCAGCTGTGTACCAGATAACATATAGATGGATAAAAATAACACACGTGGTTATTCATATTACCCATTGGCAGGGTATCCAAGGTCAGTCATTAAAATTGTTTACTCCGAATAAGATCGTAACTAAATTGTGGCAGAGTTCGGTGGTACCAATTAACATGGGATTATGTTTTATTGTGACTTTTTATACACCAGGTGCTATTAGAAGGACACTAGTGTGGAGTGTCTTCAGCCACAGTAATGTGCTATATATAGTCTTTCACTAATTCAAATGAATTAAAATGTGGTCTAACAGTAGTACAAGTAGAGGAATCTTCAAACCATCTAAGCAGCCCCAGTTACACAGAAATATATACTCAATAATAAATTAAAATATATATATTAGCCACAATAAGTGACTAGTCATACCAGACCAAGTAAGGCTGTAGAAGGAAACCCCTTGAGTATATTTAACAAAGTAATAGTGTGTTTAATGAAATGTTTCCTTTTTGAAAAAGACGTATGCAGAGTAAACTTAATCCTACCTTCATTAAGGTTATCATGCTCAAACCGCATTTAAAGAGTAGTTCAACATTATAGCTGGAGGCTGTAGTTTGTGGTGCTGTTAAATTGTGAAGTGTTATATTGAGAGCTGTATTTCCTATTATTTTAAAGAAATACCTAATAATAATAACAATAATAGTAATAAATACAATTCAACAGCAATATAAACTAAAGTCATAAACATTCACAAAGGTAGGATTTATTAATGAATGTCTACTGACTGAATTAGTTTTAGCTATCAAATACACTCACAGAGGTGGAGTTAGTATTTAAATCATTAAGTAAAAGTAGTGATACCAAAATTATAAGTTTCCTCAAATGTACTCCAAGTATCAAAAGTCAACATTCATTCATGCCGTGGCAGTGTTATTTCATTATATAAGACTGGACCATTACTACTGATGCATGTAAACAATACTTTAATGTTATAGCTGCTTGAGGTGGAGCTGATTTCAAACGCTTTATATATAGTTTGGGGTTGTTAAATCTATAACACATTTTATATACGTAGTACAAAGAACAATATTAGAGTAGGAGCATAAAAGGAAAATACTTAAATAACATCAGAACTGTACTTAAGTACAGGATTTTAGTAAATGAGTTACATCCTACCACTGAAACAGTGTAAATTGAATTAAACATTATAAAGAACATTATTATTATTATTATTATTATTATTATTATTATTATTATTATTATTAAAATCAGTGTTAACTTACTTGTGTACTAAAAAGTGATATCTCCATGGAGTCGTAACGTGTTGAAGCGAAAAGGGAAGCAGCGGACGGTGACTTATCTCGTGTTGAATCCTGTGTCTGTCGTCTTTGATCGTCCGCTGCTGCACCCTCACCGCCCGGCCCCCTGGCGGCGAGGCGGCGCAGTGCCGTGTACTCTTACCGCCTACCTGACCACGCTGACCCGTGGATGACCTCACCAAAAAACGGACAGGAAAAAAACAAAAACAAATGAAAAACAAGACAAACTTTAAAAACATATTTTAATAAAAACGGAAGCAGTTGTATTAAATTGACGTGGGGACGGATTTATTGAGAGACTCGCAAACGGTGAGTGAACCCCGGTGTCTGTCACCTGACCACGTTTGTGTGCACAGTCCGCCGGGTTAAAGTAGTCCGAACACCTCAGGTTGTACTCAAAAGTGTAGTTACAGACAATAATATTAATGTCGGTGCCATGTTAACTAGTTATGACTAGTTTACACCTGCTCACTCTGGGCTGTGTCTTTACACGCTAGCAGGCTGCTAGTTGTCTGCACAGATGCTAAGCTGCAGGTGTGCTTTGATCACAGCGACGCTTTGATTCCAGTTCAATACGTTTTGGCCCTATCAATCTTTTTTTTTTATTGCTGTTTTAATCAAGTGGAAAAACCTTCAGTTATGAAAAAGAAAATTAAAAAGGACAGTAATTGTAGTAGATAGTAAGGTAACACAAGTCATGTACAGAATTATTAAAAATATACTTCATTAGTACACACTATGTAGAATGGCCCATTTCAGAATAAAATACATGATATTATTGGATTATTATTATTAATGCATGTGTTAATAACTTAAGTGTTGAAGCTGGTAAAGGATAATTTTAATTACTTTGCTCCCATGGATCAATAGTCTTAATCTATAATACTATTCCATCATTTGAAACCTGTGATCCTATTTCCTAATGTATTAGTAGATTTATATTGTGTATTGTTAATCTGAATCTACACAGTCAGTAAAGTTATAAAGTACATGAAAGTAAAAGGTCCCTCTCTGGTCCTGGTCCAGTGGGTGGGGAGATGTGGTGCTACCAGAAACCGGGGTTTGAAGCCCTCCTCCTTGCTGAGCTGCAGAGGCAACAACAGTGCAGCCAGTTCTGTGACACTCTGCTCAAGACAGAAGGTACTCACAGAAACAGCCAAATTACACCCACCTTACACGCCTGCCTTTAGAGCGTGTTCTTTTGCTGTCTCTTATAGATACGTTACATAGACAATGTGTAAGTTCCACACTTTTCACCTCATATTATAGTTTCATGTAGTCCTGCAAGCCTTTATCATTATCGACATCTGTCCTCCCCTCCAGGTGTGTCAGTGCCAGCGCACAGTTGTATCCTCTCAGCCATCAGCCCGGACATCTCCTCTGCTCTGTCCTCCACGCCGCCGCCCCCTGCAGGACAGAGCCGTCTCCTGGAGTTTCGGGCTCTCGGCGCCTGCACGCTGCTCCGTGTGGTCAGACTGCTGTACTCTGGAGAGATGGCAGGTGAAGGGGAGGAGGAGAAGCAAGAGGCGATTTCTGCTGCAGCCAGGCTGGGCATCCACGGGCTGGTGGAGGTCACAAGAAGAGACTGTAAACGCAGACACGAGGAAGAAGGCCAGCACGCAGAGGTAGGAGTGCAGACGGAGCCACTGACGCCGGAGGAAAATGAGGGGAGACGGGGGCGGTGGAGGAGAGAAGTGAGGGATGGGAGCACCTTTCTGTGGAAAGAGACGCTGTCAGATGGTGAAAGAGACACATGGACTCAGACAGAAGAGCTGCAGGCAGACACAGCTCCTCCTCCTCACCCAGCAGCCTCCTATGAGACCATCGATATAGCTGCTCTCCAGACTTTAGGACAGACACACCCCAATCTTCTTCCCCCTCAAATTCCCTATGTTCCCATATCACTCGTCTACCCACTAGATGAAAACCAAACACACCAGCCTTCCTCTGCCCTCGTGGCACCACTGTACACCTCCGCCCCCCCGTCCCACCTTCCTTTCCCCAGCCAAGCAACCCCGAGTGCTCCTGACCCTCCGAGCTGCTGGGCTGGCCCCGAAAGAGCAGCAGCTGAAGAATGTGACGACGAGCAGTTGGAGCAGTTTCAAGACAACATCCCGGGATACATCAACTACTTCCTGAACCCGAACAAGGAGGAGGGCCCCTGCAGGGGGACGACGCGACGGGGGACGGGGGCAAGGAAGGGCAAGAGTGGGAGGTGCCAGGAGGGCGGGGACGGGTGAGAGAAGAGCCGGGAGACCACGAGCAAGAGCAGGAGGGAGGGGGAGAAGAGGGTTAACGCAGACGGTGGACGTGCAAGAGGTGGGGGTGAGCAGGCTGCAGAAGTTGTTCCTGCAGAGGGGGGGGGTGAGGGCGTCCAGGACGGGTCAGGGCGGAGGAGCTGCAGGCAGGAAGTTGTACCTGAGGACCAGAGAGCTTCTGAAGCAAACCAAGAGCTGTCAGCGGAGGAGAGGGCGCAGCAAAGTGTGGGAGTCCAACCTGAGTGGAGATGTACCGCCGTTCTGTAAGGAAGAGGCAGGTATCAAGCAGCGTGGACGGAGGAGCACGGCGCCGCAGTTTAACCCGGTGAGAGTGCCGCTGTATATCGTCCTATTTGTGACATAATGACACTGGAGGATGGGGGACGGCTGTTTTTTAAATTACATACAAAAACAACGTTCAATCTATGAACTCACCAGCTTCAATTAAATAGCATTTTGATAACACTTTACATCTTGAAATAGTGTGTTTTATTTTGAAACAGGATATGGAATAATCTGAAAATCTGTTTGGTATTATTGATCAAAACAATTAGCTTTTTTCTAATAAATTATTTCTTGTTTTCACAAAGTAAACATCACAAGAATTTAAAAGAAAATTTAAAGAATAACTTCCACAGCCTTCAAGTCTGATATTATAGTATAGTATATTAAGTGAGAAGCTTTCTTTGTTACGAAGGTTTAATGTACTTCTGCACGTTGTCTTGCATTATAACTAACTCACTTCTCTTCCCGCAGGATGGTCCTCCTGTTGGCAGGGCTCAGAAGGCGAGAACCAAACCAACAACATCAGTCTCCTTTTCCTCCCCTCCCATGCAGGTCTACAACGTTCGTACCTTACCTGCCTCCAGCCCCTCCCTCAAGCCTTCTCCGTCACCCGCCCTGCTGTCACTTGCAGCCTCCCACGCGTCACGTGAATCGTCTTTCCTCCACACCGCCTCCGTCCCTCCTCCCGCACCTCCACCTCACGATGAACAGCCTGAACACTTCGACCGTCTGCTGGAGGAAGTGATGATGGGCCTCGACATTTTGCCAAACAACAGCAACGGTGCTCGACATTCTCAGCTTCCTCTTCCATCCAGCAGCAGCAGTCGCACCTATGGCAATACTTTGGCCCAAAACAAACAACAAAGCTGTAACTCTGGCCTCCTGGAAGCAGGCCCGGGTTTCCACGGGTCCACGCAGGTTGTTGCCGTCGGAGGTGGCGGTTCCAGCTCCGCAAACAGCATGGTTCCCATTCTGCAGCAGCAAGGAGAGGGAGAGCTGAATGAAATGCTGGAGCACTTCCTCATGTCCTTTGAGCAGCACGTTGACAGCTGTGCTCCCCGGGACGAGGTGGAGATGGGTGGTCAGAGCCGCGCTGAGGCTCCAGTCAGAAGTTCCCAAAAACTGCAACAGAGCGATGGAGCCGAAACACCGGCGACACAGCCACGCAAAGCTTCTGCTCACAATGCCGCTCCCCCCAAACATAACGAGAAAACACCATCCGTCAGCAAACGACAAAAGAAGCGAAGAAAAAATGAATATCTGTTCTCGTCGGAGAAGAAGAGGGTGAGGGTGAAGAAGCCAGTGTCATCAAGTGACGCAAAGACCAAAATCGTTCATGACCGAGGAGACAAGCAGCTACAGCAGATTCCTGTGGTGAAACTGGAGAGGAGTGGCCTGCTGCCAGTCAAAGTTGCTCTGCAGGGACACAGCTGTCAGAGTCTGGACCTCAAGGTGACAAACATTTCTGACTCCTCTCCACAAATGCTTCTGATGTTGTCAGCTGTCTGTCTGATAACGGATATTAATATGAGGGTGAAATTGTGTGTGAAGAATGTGAAAGAAAGTCAGTGTTTATATTTTCCAGAGCGTTGCGAAAGCAAAGACCAGTTCATCATCAGTGAAATGTCCACATGACAATGACCAGCGAGCCTCGTGGGCCACAAAGACGTACCCAATCAGAAGCCGGTTTAGGGAAGCACATATGGTGAGCGTGACTTTTTTTTTTTTTTTAGATTGAAGACGAATAGATGAATGTGTCTTCCAAACATCTGTTCTTTAAAGACAGAGGCATCGGGTTTCTATGTTATTGTTTTTATCCACACTAGTAACAAGACTTGGTGGATTGATCGGTCGACGGCTTTGGTCCAGACTTAAATATACTATAATAACTATTGGATTGAATCTTTGTACAGACATTCATGATGAATTCTAATGGCTTACTCTAAGTACTACAAGAAAGCGCAATATTCTGAAAATATTTCCATTACTAACATACAAAATAATGCAAACTGCAATTACTATACAATTTTATATCATCTTTGTTGTTCGCAGACAAACAGCAAGTGAAGGCCCTAAAACTGCTCCCTTCTTGTCAGACGTTTACACACCTTTGACCTTTGCCGTTATTTTGCGCAAAAATGAAGTAAACTTTTAAAAGTGGAATTAAGTTTTCATTAAAAGAAGAAGGGTTGTTTAAATTCATATGAAAACACTAGAAAAATAATGATAAAAATCTTGCAGACCGTATTATTATATTTTTGAGACCCGTGCTCTAGCACCTCCAGCAGGACAAAGTTTGTACTCATCCCCAAGAAATATCTCAACATCTACTGGATGGATGGGCAGAAAACTTTCTAGAGACATTCACGGTTCCCAGATGATGAATACTAATCATTGTTGCAACCTTTTAAGTTTTCATCTAGCGCAATCGTGAGGTCAAAATGTTGTCCAAATACCTGCAAAACTATGAAAATGACATTCCCATCAGCCTCAGCTGTACTTTGTGTTTAGTGCTAATTAGAAATAAAGTAGGAAAGCAGCATGTTAGCATTGTATGTATGCAAGACTGTTTTTGTATCTGTCTGTATAATCTAATTGGGTTATTTGTTTCACAGGACAGTACGCCCTTTCTTGAGGAGCCCTTTGTACCCAAACCACAACCAAGCCGCAAGCGAGGCAGGCCCAGAAAAAATGGACAACTTCCTAGATTATGTAATGGGGAGAGCTCAACACCACCCATTCAGCCGCAGCCTGTGGATGAACAACTGGAGAAAAATCAAGAGAGACGTGAAGAAGAATTTACTGTCCAGCCACAGGAAGAAGCAGAGGGACCTACAAGGAGGGGAGAGAAGAGGGGAGCAGAGTCCAAGGGGGAGACGAGTGATGATACCACTGTGGCCAAGAAGGTTTGCTCGGAGAAAACGCCACAGCCGACCACTGAAACGTGCACACCAATCTCGGTGCAGTTTGAACCAGCAGCCACAGAGATAGAGGAGGTAATCGACGTGGAGACTGTTTCACTGACCGGTGTAGGAGATTGTTTACAAGGTGAAGAACAAGAAGAAAAACCTGTGTTTAGTGTAATTGGACCCGGAGAAGCCGAGGAAAGATTGACGGATGAAGACGCGGAGAGCAGCGGTGATGAGATAATCGATGTGGATGGAGATTCCGATAAGGAGCGCCACCAGAGCGGAACAGCACCAACTCTGTGTCGTCTCACTGAAGAGAAGCCCTCTGTTTCACCTTCTTCACATTCAGCTAAAGAGGTCGTTCTGGGGTCGACGGGAAGCTGGGAAGAGGACAAGGACGAGGACATTGACGTGATTGGAGGTTCCAGTCCCGTCCCCGATCCGGTGATCATCAGCTGGACAGAGCCTTCGGAAGGAGAGGAAGAGGAAGGAGACGAGGAGGTTGACGTTATTGGAGAAAAGACAGACTACACCTCGTCAGTGGTCTTCGCTGCAGTCAGTAAAGGTGAGCTTGTCAACAGGAAGTATCAGACTGAGGTGCGCTTAGATTAGCGTCTGTCGCGTTTTCTTTAGTACTCGTATGCTTCAGTTGTGTTATTGTGTTATTTCTCACATTGACCAGAAAACAACCCTGATTTGTTTCGTTGAGCTGTAAGTTAGAGGGCAGGTAGAGAAAGTGAGAGCGAGAGAGCAAGACAAATGTACTTTAAACATAAATGTCTTGTGTTTTTATTGTCTTCACCTCCATGTGCAAACACACTGACAATCATGTGAGGGGTTTTTGTTTTCCTATTCCAGCAATGTTTAGGGAAAAAAGGAGCTGTGAGCAACCTGTTAACTATTTGTTTGAATTGAAAAACAAAAGAAAAGATGTGTATCATAATGCATGAAGTTGAGTATACAGACTTAACAATTGTCAAACTGACAAACGTGACTGGAATTGTTCATTTCTTTGTTTTTTATAGATATTTAGCCATTGATTTTATGTAAAGAGTTATAACGTTGTTACTGCTAAGTTCAGTAATTTGTTATTTTTATGCAGATATGTTCAACAATGTTTGTTTTAACTGTCAAGTGTTGAAAACAACACTAAACGAACAGTTTAGAAAAACTGCAACAAAAAAATCAGGTTTATGTGTCAAAGGAATCAAGAGTGTTTTATTAGTTGTAAATGTGACTATGACTGTATTGGTTGTAAATATGGTTAATCATTTCTGCCACAGTTTGTAAATGTTCCAGGAAAACTCTTGTCTTCCTTGTTTTACTCTCTAGTTATGTTTAACAAAGTTCCTCGTGGCACTTTTTGAGTCCAGGATGAGAATTCTACAATAAACACAAATCCTCTCTACTTCCTTTGTCACATCAGCTCTATTCTGTGTCTCCACATGCACGTCACTGATAATAAGGCTCATCATCAGGATGTAGATTTCAGTTTCTCCCTCACCTCATGTTTGGGATTTGAAATAGTGTTCCACTGAAACAGGGTTTTCATTGATGCTGATATTTAGAGAGCAGGGTCACAGATGACTGATACATAATGGCAATATCAGAACAAAGACAAGTTATGTATAATTCCACTATTTCATGCACATTGCAATCTAATATACACGATTATCTCAACCAGTAACCTGTTGTTTTATCAATCAATGAAACAAAAATACACTAGGTTATGCTGTAGAGTTCATTATTTACATTGTAACATAATATATATTTAACATTAGCCAGTAACTGTTTTAGATTAGATGTGCTGTCATTTAGGTTGGAAGAAAAATGTTTAAAAAAGACGATGTTGACAGGAAATATAGGCCAACGTTTGCAGCAGGATGCATGAGTTACAGTACACTCACATCATTCCACAGCAGCCATACTGACAGGGCTGCCTGCAGATGTGTCTGCAGAAATGTTGTTTATTTGCAAGATAATTGGCCTCATAAATCAGCTAACTGATTAAGAGGTTTATCACCAGATTGAAACAAAACATACAAATAGACAGGATCTAAATGACTAATGCTTGACAGCAGCATGTCTGTTATTATATATTAAATATATATGTTGGTATTAAAATACAAAACATGTGGAAGTATCTCCAGTAATATCGGACAGTTTTAGTCTCCATATTTCTGCTGTGTAATCCTGAAATTATTTGTTGTCAGTATCTGCAGCACATTTCTTTATGCTGTATATTGTCAAAATGGAAAAATATGTTTCTTTATTTGCTTGTGTTTAATTTATCTATATTTATTTAATATATATAGCATTTTCCCCAAATGTTACCTGTTTTGTCCGAGTGATGAAGATATGTTGACTTTTTATGTTTAGTCTGTTTTTTTGTCTTTATTGCGTTAGTGAAAATACAGAATAACTTAAAGATGAAACACTTATTCCTCTCATATCCTGTCCTTCCTCACCTTCCTCCACTGTACTCTGCCCAATGAAGCACCTTAAATTAGATTGGTAGGTATACTTTGAAATGCAGATAAGCATGTTGCTACATTTTCAGGCTTGAACAACAGCGGAGTACCCCTTAACCACTGTTTCATTTCAGAGAGAGGGGCCCCACCAGTCACCATGAAATCAAATACACACAATAAAACAAGAATACATGAGGTGAAAATGAATTTATTAGTTATCAACCTGTGGATCAACCTCCTACACACAACAAAACACATCTGAGCTGCACCACAGCGCAGTCATCGAGGAGGGTGAGTGCAGCTAGGGAGGCTTTGCCTGCTTAATTGCGCCGTGTTGAAGCTTCATCTCCCCTCTGTTTGGTTGCTCGCCCAGCTCAGGTGAGAGTACAGTACAGGTGTGTGTTTGTGTGTGAGTGTGTAGGGACCTCTAAACCAAATACAAAAGACACTGTGCAAGTGTCAGCGCGTGTGTGTGTGGAGTGTGTGTTTCCCTGTGCTTTAACAGTGCGATATTGTCTCTTATCACACTCTGGCAGCGACTGTAAATCAGTAGTGGTGCTGAGTAGGGTTGGGGCGGCTGTTGCGGCTCAAGTCAAGAGGAAGGAAAGGGTTGAAGAAAGAAAGAAAGAGGAGAGGGTAAAGGGAGCGGGGAGGTTCGAAGGGAGCTGCTGTCTCAGTCTCAGCCCGTCCTCCTCTCAGTGCTGGATGCGCCTGATGGACTGGATCTGGGGAGTCTGACAGTGGGATCCCCAGTTCCTCCAGTGCTGGTAGTCTCCGCTGTGTCTCTCACACTCCATGATGTACTGCTGGCCTCTGTAGCCAGGGTGCTGGTAGCACACAAAGCTGTGGGTGGACAGAGACGACAGTGAGGGTTAATGGGTTTATTTTAGGAGCTTTAAGTGTGTGTTATTAGTGTTCACACACGTCATTTCAACAAACTTACGCGCCACACTGCACGTGCATGGAGCCAACTTCAGGCATCATCCAGCCCATGGCCTGCAGAGAGGGGTAATCGTCACAAACCTCCACGCTGCGGCCCATGAAGTTCTCCCTCTCAAAGATCATCATACGACTGCTCTGGTGGGACTGTAAGGGGAGAGAGAGAGAGAGAGAGAGACCATTGGGTTTTTGGATTCCTCAGGTAACTGATGATTGCCACCTTAAGAGACAGGATGTAACTTACGGCGCAGTAGATGGGACGCAGAGACATGAAGCGCTCCACGTGGTAAGAGAGGGAACCGCTGTAGGCATCCCAGTGAGGGTACTCTCCTCTCTCCAGGATGAACTGCTGGCCCTGGAAGTCGTGGTGCTCAAAACCCACCCAGCTGTTCAGAAAGAAAGAGAGAGAATGTTCATTTCACCGTCCATCTGAATCTCATTTGATAAAATATTGTCAGGTTTAAATACTGGTCTCATTTTTGTCTTGTTGAGGGAAACATTTAGAAACCTACGCTCCGCTCTCCACCCTGATGGAGCGGATGTTGTCCAGTCCGCACTCCTGGATGTTGCAGCACTCGGAGGTGAACTCCAGGCACTTGCCCTGGAAATGCTCCTGCTCGAACACGGTCACCTGGGGAGACGAAAGGAGTTTAGTTGGCGACGAGTTTGCTTATATAGTTTCTCCTCCTTTACGTCTCGAGCAGACATGCACAGATTGTATAAAGCCATCTCACATCCACCTTAACTAGTTTTGAATCACGTAATGTGTGCACAAATGATAATAAATGTGTTTACCTTGAAGAAAGGAGCCATGCCCATTCCTGAGTTGACCAGCGGCTGCATCATTGGGTACCTTGTAGTTCTGTACATCTTTACTCCTGAGGGGGCAAATGAGGACAGAGAGAAGGAGGTGAGTTAAAGGCAAGAAGGTGTGGAGGAAACAGTGGGAGACTCCTTAAAGTATTAATGACACAATAATGAAACATCTTAGACTATTTGGCTTGTTTTCTCAGTATAAAACATGATGGTGTTCAATTTCCAGTAACACCACAAATCATTTAGGCTTCAACTCATCTCAGAAATCTGAACTAAAACATCTGGAGGAGGTCTGGCCGAACGCAGTTAATTTACTAATTTTTTTTAAAAAAAGGTGAAAGATGAAATACAATTCTGGTAACAATTAGCATTGTCATACAGGTGTTTTTCAGAAAGTGCTTTTGGTTTTCAGTTTCTGTGTGCAGCAGCTTGAGAGCGCCTGTCTGTCTGACCCTGAGCTGTGTTGAAAGCAGAGATGCAGCCTTACCTAGATTGGCACTTTATTAGAAGAGCTTTGGAGTGGTACGCGCCTACCGCCTGCCTCGCGTAGAGCTTTGGGAGAACCTGGCGCTTCAGTTTTATACCGACGGTCGGGGAGCGAGCCTGCTGGTGCGCGTCCACGGCTCTGACTCGTTACCATTCAAACCACCCATTTGGCACAGCGGCGGCAACGGCAGCGAGGCGCGCTCCCGGATTCGCCGCGCGGCCGCTGGGTGCTGTTGTCCGGCTCCAGCGGCCAGCTCAGCACATCCCATAGTCTGTGCTGGTGCTCTGAAACAAAGGCGCTCCGGTATGTTCGGACCCCGGTCAGCAGTCCAGCGCGTACCCCGGCACAAAGGGCCGGGATCGGGGTGGAGAATGTGGGGATTAACGGCGGAGCAGAGGCACCGCGGGGGCACACAGAAGGAGAGAACTGGTCGTGTCTGTATGGATGTAAGAGAGCTATAAGTTTCATTTTAGTCCTGCGTACACAATGGCATCTCATTGTCACCAAACGCTCTTGCGCGCGCACCTTCGAGGGTGCAGGTACACCAGCACACACGCAAAGCAAAATCAATGGTTTCCAAAGTCCTGGAAAGAAACACCCGAAAACAATTGTTCGCTCAATGCAACAATTTCTCTTCTGTTAAAACACAGTGTAAACATTTATTCTGTTATAAATAAAAAAAATCAAACATACAAATACTGATATCAAAGGTGGGTCTGTGGTCTCTGTGTGGGGCTCTTCCAGCTGAAATGTTTGGGAACCTCAGACCTTAAGTGAGGAAGCATTTCATTCAGATTTATGTATCACACATGAATGTTACTCCCTGACAAACATGTAGCCTGGAACATTTATATAGTAAAGTATAGTATAAAGTATGTTTAACTTTTGCCTCCAGAGGTTTGAAGACACACATCCACAATAAAATAATTCATGTCACTGTATGCAGTATGTCTAAATCCTGGTTTATATTTTCAATAAGTGGGTTGTTATGGTGACAGGAGAATCTGAAATATAAGAATAAATTACTAAGCTTTAGGGTACATTATTTACATCTAAAAGTTGATGGTGGTTGAGGTGTGAACATCAACTTGTATGTATTAGCTCTATCACTAACTTCAGTTTGCTCTCCAGCCTCTCTGTCAGTCCTCCTCTGCGTCGGCCCACCCCCTCTGTCCGTCCCTCTCTGATGATGTGGAGTTTCTTTTGTCCCGCGCCTCTGACCTCAGCAGGTTTGTTTCTCTGCCTATAATCCCTCTCCTATGGGCGCCAGCGTATAAAAGGGAGAGGCGCACTCCGAGCCACACACACTCTGAGTGAGGCTCGGCGTAGGCATCGCACACACAGACAGGTAAGGTACACACACATGCACATACTGTACGCCTGCAGGTGTGTGGAGTTACAAGGCAGGAGGAAGAGATACAAAATATACACATTATTCTATACTTTCCTCTATCTCTAATACAACCTTTAATTTATATAATAGCTTTACACCATCAAAACAGGTTCAATTACTCATACATCAACATTTTCTTTCCCTCCAGTAATCATGTCCAGTGGAGATAAGTCCAAGACTTCTTCCCAGACCGACGGGAAGGCTGCCCAGGGCAAGAAGTCTGAGATGGGAATGATGTCCTACAAGGTGGGTTGCTCTCACATGGGACCAATAGCGGCTCTTGTTTAAGCCACACTGAGATGTATTTAGTTTATCATTACTGTTGGTGTACTGACTCATCTGTGTGCATCTACAGATGTACGTGTTCGACCAGGAGAACTTCCAGGGTCGCATGATCGAGATCAGCAACGAGTGCATGAATGTGTGTGAGATGGGCATGGACCGCGTGCGCTCCCTGCGCGTTGAGTGTGGACCGTAAGTCTCCATAAAAGATGCATTTTCACATTTAAAGCACTTGTCTTTGCGCGGATAACTCACAATATTTTTTTCCTCCGCAGCTTCGTTGGCTTTGAGCAGATGAACTTCTGTGGTGAGATGTACATCCTGGAGAAGGGAGAGTATCCTCGCTGGGACTCTTGGAGCAACTGCCAGAGGAACGACTACCTGCTGTCCTTCAGGCCTGTCAGAATGGTAAAAACACTTGGTTTCAAACTCTCACATGTCCTCTTTTGCTTAAGACCACATCATAAACTAGTGTTTTTTCTCTCTTCCAGGACCCCGAGAAGCACAAGATTTGCCTGTATGAGGTTGGAGAGTTCAAGGGCCGCAAGATGGAGATCATGGACGATGACGTTCCTAGCCTGTTCTCCTATGGCTTCACCGACAGAGTGGGCAGCATCATGGTCAGCTGTGGAACGTGAGTGTCTGCTCGAACATCAAACTCTGATGACATAAAAAACGACATAAGTCAATCCTATACTGACATGTTTCGTCTTTTATCTCCAGCTGGGTGGGATACCAGTTCCCTGGATACCGTGGCAGCCAGTACCTGCTCGAGAAGGGCGACTACAGGCACTTCAACGAGTACGGCGCCCGCCATCCTCAGTTCCAGTCCGTGAGGCGTATCCGTGACATGCAGTGGCACCAACAGGGCTGCTACACCATGGCCAGCAAGTGAGGCTCAGGGAAGGAGAGAAAGAGAAAGAGCGGAAGTGAGGGAGAGGGGCGGAGGAAGAGGGAAAGGGGGAGAGATGTCTGAGGCCTTACCTCAGTAACTTAATCGGTCTATGATCTAATACAGTGAGGGGAAGGGTGAGGATTTAGATCTACCCCTGATTGGAGACAACACCTCAGTGGAAGGACCAGCTGGACCACCCTCCATTCCTCTCTGTCTCTACGTTTCTCTTTCTCCCCTATGGGCTGAGTTTTGCTTTCCCCCCCTTTCTCCCTTTTTTTAGTCCCTCACTTCATTCCCCTCCACAGTCCTCTAAAACACCAAGAGAACACGACACCTCTCGTTGTTTTACACACTCAATTCCTGGCTCAGGGTATGATGCACCATGGGAAACTGAGTCCCTAGAGCCCCCTGTCCCTTGACTTCTTGCCCCTGTGCTTTGCACTTCCTCTCTGCTGTACAGAATCCTGGCCAAGTTTTCAATAAAAAGGAAAATCTTGATTTCAAAGTTTTTGTTGTTGTAACTTATTATTGAAAAATCACCTGAGTGGAAATGTTAATGGACAAAAGTGGAAAATAAAAGAACAAGATGAATTAAAAATGTGAGATGAATCAATTTCATTGATCAATCACTGCTTTTCTGAAGCTTAGTATTTAAGATGCCAGCTGGACACAAAACATGATTTCATGCTTGACATCAAACTTTTCAGGTAATACTGAATTAAAAATGTGACCTTAAGCAGGTGACATATTACAGTAAAACATGACCAAAAACCTGCTGTTATAGACATACAGTCAATGAATTGAAATGAGAGACTAAAAGTAATTGATTTAGTGATTTAAACAAGTCATTTTTCAGATTATTTGTAAATTGACTTTATTTTAAGAATATTGCTAAATAAAAGAAATACAACAAATACATATAATATGTATTTTTTAGAAAGTGTGTAGAGTAATAACTACATTTAAATCTGAACCGTTTGTTTATTTTATTCAAACTTCTTGCTAAGAAATTGCTTGAAGATGAGAGTGAACTCTTAATTCAGGGGTCAATATGATGTTTATTCATGCCTCCAGACTTGTTTAAAGCAGTTGGTCCTCTTAATATTTTCCTACACACTATGTTTACGTCAGGACTGGCAGTGTGTGTTCTCGATTAATCTCCATCTAAACCATGAATCCTCTCCCTGCCCAGTCATGAGTCATTTTACTGTGAATATACACGTATAAACTCCAGATTTATCCTCCGTTGTCCTTATTGGAATAATTAGCCCATTCATCTTATTATTGCACATATCTTTAATTAAAAAAAAAGATTTTTACAGTTTTACAAACAAGATTTTACACTCATAGGACAAACGTTGATTATATAAAAATACATCTAAAAACAGTCATAAATGTTGTCTATAAGCTTCTGATATGTTTTACAGCTGTTAAAATACTTTATCTTTGTGTTGCAGCTCAGTTCACATGTGGATGTCATATGCAGGCTGGATGCTATTTGTCTATACAAAGCTTGTTTTTATTTAATATAAAAATACAATTTTGGTTAAGGGCTCTTAAGAGCAGAAGAATAATGTTCACTACAATGTAGTGTGTTAACTAATCCAGCAGTTGCATAATGTCTGTGCGTCCATCGGACATGTGGGCAGCTGGACCAGTCAGCGAGACATCATTCGCACAAACTCTGAAAAGACAAGAGAGAAGGGTGAGAGGGCGAAAGATGAGGATGAAAGTGGTTTCCATAAAGGCGAAGAGACTTTCCTCTCACCCTCAAAGTCCACCAGGCCGTCTCCGTTGAGGTCGACATCTCGGAGGATCTCGTTGATCTCTCTGTTGGTCACTTGTTCCCCCATCAGCTTCTTCATGGCCTCACGCAGCTCAGTTAAACTGATCTGACCGTCACCGTTAGAGTCAAACTGGACACACACACACACACCACACACACACACACACCACCACACCACACACACACAAACACACACACCACAGACGAGAGAAACACAATTTAAATGGAAAGTCCTCCTCTACTCATATATGTATGTAAAACAGGTCTGGAGGGGATCTCTAACCATATCGTGAATACACTGTGACATTGTAGGCAAAACACTAGTTTTCTGTACTGTCACTGGATGGAATCAAAGTAAGTATTTCCAAATCCTTAATAATAAATAATGTTGTGCCATGTTTGTCTGGCATGATGTCACCCCTGACACATAAATGCTTTCTCAAACAGCAACAACACAATGAAACTCCAACACAAACAAAAGGAGGAAAGTTACATTTATTGAACTAATATTATCAAGAACAAAAATTTCTTTTTTTGTCATTAGTTTCTGCTGTACAAATGAAAATAGAGAGGTCAGATTGTTTTGCTCTCTGACTAAATCTTTCTAAACCTGGATCTTGATCGCTTTGCCAGTATCAGATAACTTATCTGATTTATTGTTTTTGGAGCTTTTGGTTTGTGAAATTTTATAAGTAATATCCGATTGGCACTATCTCCTGACCTCTTTGAATGCATCTCGTAGTTCTTTGACTCCGATCATGTCTGCTGTCTCTGCCAGCATCTTGGGTCCCATCAGCTCCACGAAGTCCTCAAAGTCCACTTTACCTCCACCTACAACACACAAATTATAGTTTAACAGATTGTATTCTTTTTTAAAATTATTTTTTTATTTTGCCTTTGCTTTTATTTGACAGTTTGTTGACAGTTTGACTCCTGACCGGTAGACATTGTGGTATACATTAGGCACGTTCACCATCAGACGACCAGGGTGCCCCAGTTTCTTCTATTCCATTCTGCTCTATTTCACCCTATTGGAAAGCTAACGGGTGTGTTGCTTTAGCAAAACTATTCTTAAAACTTCAAAATAGAAATAGAAAATTAGTCTAATGTTACTACGACCGAGTAGACTGCAGAGGACTCAAAGAAAAACAAAATCCCAAAACATTTAGAGCCCAATGCCCCTTTGTAATTCAGTAATTATCTAGGATCACTTGGGGATATCAACTAAATGGAAGTTTTAATCATTTAATTATCCCCTTTTGTGGGCAAAACTATTTGAAATGTAAATAATACATGTGGTGTTTGAATTATACTGTTTTCATGTTGAAATAGTCATTAATGAAGGATCAATATAACAGGTGACATCTTTTGAACCGTAGTGCATTGTTTTCTATTTCTGTGTTTGTTCTGATCTGTTCTCTCAATTGTTCCAGGCGGTTGTTTCACTCACAGATCTGCTGGCTCAGTTCGATGAGCTCCATTTCTGTTGGCATGTATCCCATGGTCCTCATGCACTCCCCCAGGTCTTTATGACTGATGTAGCCTTTTTTGTTCCTGTCAAACTCCACAAACGCCTCACGGAGTTCTGATAGAAACAAACAAACAAAACCCGTTAATATTTGTGAGTCAGCCGTCATGTACACATGGCGGGAATTTACTCTTCAATCACCTTCAATCTCCTCTGGTCTGAGCTCTCTGTCCTGTTGGAAGAAGCAGAGACAGACATAAGTTTCTCATTTCATACAGTGCTAAACCTCGCACAACTCACAAACACTCATAATGAAAATATTTATAGAGCTTGTTTGGCATTGTTCAGAAATATAAACACAGTTGGATTTAAAGTAATCATTGCGGCAACACCCAGACAACCACTGAACAGGGAAGAAATGATACACAAACACAAACATTGAGAAGAAATGAGAGAAATGATAAATGGAGTTTGGCTTCATGTCACTCTAATGCGGGGATGCTTTGAAATGTTATTTTGCTATTTGAAAGGTCCATTTATTTGAAACTGTTTTATATTGAGGGTTTTATACTTTAGTCAAGTTGTTTGGTAAGCTGACAACCACAGTGCATCTCGAAAATTAAAAACTGTCTATGGATTATACAATAAATTGTATACTGCATTGTATTGTATGTGGTAATTCATGCACCACAAAGGGTAACCAGATTATTTGTGGCAACACACATCTGGAGATTATGAGATTTGGGAGGTTTAGTTGGTACAGAGACCCTAGAACACATGTCCACTCTATACACACATAAATACATATAGATTTTGCTCATGGCACTCAAGCTCGCCCGCAAGTCCGATCGTACAAAAAGCACACACATAATGGAAGTGGATCGGTATCTTAGAGCTTCAGAGAGAAACAGTTATGATAAATACTATGAGATCATTTTATTTACTTTGGCTGCCTTCTCCCTCATTTTTCACCCAACAAACTAAATGCCTCAGGTTCAAACCAAATTACAATATGAGAAATCCTCCAGACTGACAACAAGGGACTTTACAATGAGACACACTGACAAAATAACTGGAATTCATTTTGGTAAGTTTCATATAAATACAGAAAGAGAGGTGTGATTTGCAAGATTGAAAAATTCCCATTATTCCCATCATGCACAAAAATGATACAGTGTCTATAGGAGAACGTACAGCCATATTAACCTGCTATGAGCCCATAATGGATTTCTTTCAGTAAACCTGGAGCCTTCAGGGGCCATTTCTGGACCCCAGGGGTTAGTCGCCCAGTCTGCCTGGTCGTAAATCCAGCCTTGACCTCCACATCACTCTGTGCCACACATGTTTTAGAAGTAAGCTCCACAGAGCCAGTCAATAATTTTCCATGGAACCGAATGATCGACCCCTCTGAGCATGTGCGGTGCCAGCCAGCAGATTTGATCGTCTGACCTGGACCAGTGATGGGATGATACAGCTGGTGTGGTGGAGAGCATTAAGGTCAGCTGTGATGATGCAAGGGATGAAAATGAATCGACACAAGTGGAAAAAGTCGCACTGGGGTTGTGTGAGGGTTAGTGTTCTGTTGTTACATACGAGTGTCTGTGAAAAGCCCTGTTTAAGGAAGACCCAGGCCGGGCCCACGACGTTGTGCAGCACGTTGCAGTTCTTCACCAGTGCACCGAAGGGACTGTTGAATGGCTCAATCTCTGCGTCCTCATCCTCCTCTCCCTCTGGCTGCGGATCCTGCTGGCCCACTGCCCTCACTTTACCCCTGAGGGGCCCATCCACTACCCCCTTAGAGACCAGACCAGGCCGTTATTCCCCCTTCAAATCATGTCTTTCATGGATCCAGGTTATGACCCATAGTTTTCTAGTCACACAGACATTAGGTAGAGTGTGGCTGTAAGCCTGCATAACATAAGCTGCTTATTATTTTAAGGCAGTCTACTCACATCATCTATTATCCTTACTGGTAAAGACCATCTTGAGCGCAACATTGCAACTACCATGAAAGAAAGCATTTTGTATTAGATGTTTTAAAACAACCAGCGCTGCAATTTCAACATCTTTCACTGTTTCCTGCATTTAGAAAAACCTACAGTTATTACAACTATTATACAAGGATTACAGTAATTAAGACAAAATGCAAAGAAAGCTCCAAAAGCTAGAACGTGTACTTCAATGCCCAAAGCTGCTGAAATGTTTATATGTAAATTATCAATCACAGAACTTATAAACTGACACTGATGTAAAATAGTGTCATTTTAGCAAGTGCAAGTGCAAGTGAAAGCATCAGGCTCCAGTCTGACAAAGATGAGACATCTCTTACCTTCTTCATTTTTTCTTTCATAGATGCTTGGGTGCAGTTACCCATTGCCGACCACCTCCAGCTGCCCAAAATCTTTCCTTCCTCTCTCTCAGAAACTTCTCTCTGATTTTATTTGTCTGATTTTATCTCTTCTTCCCCTTTTTTTCCTGCTGCCCTCCTTTCTTCAGAGGTTCAGCTCAGGCTCGAGCTCTTAAGTCAGAGAAAACCTCTCTGAGTGTCCCATGCTGGTTATCAGTCATCTCATCTGATACCACAGAGATAAAAACAAACAGCTCTAATCCATGCATGAGCAATCCTGAATGACTCCACCCATCTCTATATGATCCAAAACAGAGCCAAGTCACCAAACAAAGCAGCACAAAAACCAAACTAACCCAACCAACTTCAACTCTGCTGAGAGCAGCAGCATCACACCGATGCTTTTAACCCCCCCTCCACACACACACATACACACACAAACACCATCACTCTCTTTCCCGTCCAGTTGCTCTCTCTCCTCCCTCTCCCTCGCTCTCTCGTTCAAATGCTGAATTCAAATGACTTCATCGACAGTACGAAGTCATTTGAAGGGAGAATTAAGAGGAAGTAAACAGAGAGGCATTAATCCCTTCCACTTGAGATTAAAGGGGAAGACGGGGTAATGAAAAGAAAAAATAGAAAGAGAAAAGAGATGGAAAACAAGGAACCAAAATAGGGAGAAACTGACCTCAACATGAGTACTGTGTAGCTAACATAGTTTAAATCCTAAAATAAAAAGATTAAACTGAAGTGAAAATAAAAACATTTGGGTGTCAGTAAAATCTGAACCAGAACTGAAACTATATTTCTAACATTCCTGCAGCAGCTTTATCTTTTTAGTGAAAATTAACACATTGCCGAAGAAAGATAAAATGAATAAAAAGAACAAATTATTAAAGAGAATAACAACTATTACATATCATATTAACCAAAACCACAATTTCCTGTGTATCTGCTGCAGATGTTTTGTCTTTTTTTGCTAAACCTTATAGGATGCAGTATAAAGTTGTATATGTACACCAAAATGGTAAATGTACAGTATGAAACTGGTACATCAGTTTAACACACAAAACAAGAATCCTTGTATAAAACAAAATATAATTATGAAAAATTATATAAAAATAGAAGTGGATGCTAAAATTAATATGATGCAAAAGACTTATGTCCATGCAGTCATAAATCTAGTTACAAAACACAGAATAAAAGACCAGAGGGGAAAGATAATCTCTCAAGTTCCTAATTATTACAATCAAGAGTTCATGTGCTCATAACTCAGCTGTCAAACACATCTTAGTTTAAGCAGATCCTGTCATCTCAGGTCACACTTGGCAGGATGTAGCTGCTCGAGGTGCGAGGTGGTTTGAGCTCGCTGAACTTGACCTCTTTCATCCCAGAACTGGTTTGGGCAAGCTTACAATTATGACAACCTTTAAAATCACAAGTTGAGGTTATAAGTGCAGTGCTAAGTGGTCAGCTGAGCTTGTACAAAGCATCTGTCAACAAATCTCTCCAAAAGCAGATTTGACATGCTGCTTACTACAGTGTGTCCATATGGAGAGCACAGCTTCTGTGTGTGTGTGTGTGT